ACAATGAATGTGAATGAAAATTTTTCTCCATGTTGCAACTCAACGCTACTCAATACAATCCGGACTTATTTACTCTTCATTTTTCGAATCTTCAATATTTCTCCCGTTGTTCTATGTTATTACTTTGAACTTCATTCTACTATAATCGGAATTACTTCTAATCTGGTTTTTATTTATTTGAACAACAATAAAGGGATAACTATTATATTCCTCGAACACATAATCAATCGGTATTCAGTAAGTCACAATTTTTATAAAAAATAACTGCTTTACTACTAACAAGAACAGATATCTCATCTTCTCACTCCTCAAAAATCTTCCACGACATTCTTCGTTCGGTTCAGGAGGAAATTATTTATTCGCAGAAAATAGATTGTAATGACGCAGAGAATAGTAGTAAAATATTTATCGAAGAGAGCAGAGGATACAATGTACGGTGCAGTGTCCTTGGTTGAGTGTTTGAAAAGGAAAATGATGATCTTCCAGTTATAGCCTTGAGTATACAATTTTAATTAACACAATGAGCATATTTGGGGGTGTGGTTTATAACAATTTTTCCTTCGGATGAAAAAAAATTGTCAAAATCCGATTACAACAAAAGGCCCTGTTTGCAACATCAAGCATTGCAATTAAGATTGGTTCTTAGACAAAGAAATTTAGCTTGCGAGTGTACTTTGTTCCATAAAAAAAGGATGTAAACTTTTAAAGATAACAAAGAGAAACGCATGAGATAATGAATTTGAGGAATGTAAAATTGGTTGAATGATTCATGACAATGTTACAATTTGTGTGATTCATTTGTACATTGGTTTATTCAATCATTTTATTTTATTCGGAGCTTCGCGATATTCAAAATTCGCGACATCTTTTTGTTTGACTCGTTTAACTATATATGCAAACTTGTTTTACTCTGCATTGCAAATTGCAAACCTGCCAATTCTACCAAATTCTTTCAAACATCTCGTGATTTTAAGAATTCTTGATAATGTAAACATTTGCGCATCAAAGATCTTACAAACTGTTTCCAGACAATTTACGGTTAACTTGATCACATGTTTAATATTGTAAACAACTCTATCTATATAAGAATATGGATAAAGGAGTAAGAATGTATTTTGTGTCAAGCTAAATATCTATATCAATTGGTTCGCAAAATTGTCATTCTCAGTAAACTTTACTATTGGTTCTTGGCCCCGATTTCAATCATTTAAAACAATTTTCCCGACAAGCAAAGGAAGAATAATCTCCCGAGAATTTCTACCTATAATATCAGCTCGGCCTCTTACAATGTCACAAAACTAACAGTTCTCTATCAGACCTTTACCATCACTATTTGGCGCTGATATCGCAAGTAGAAAGAAACAATGATCCCCTTTGTTGAAAGCCAGACATCTTGTTTTATATGCTCATATCGTTTTACGTTTGCGCTAACAAAGAACGCTATACTAATGTGGGCTTCATAAGGATGCTAATTCTTGCAATCATAAAACGGTACAAGGCCCTCCCACAAAAGGAAGTGGAGGGTCCTGGGCGACAAACCATTTTGCAAATGTGTTTCATCGAGGTCGGTAGGATAGGATATACGATATCAGGCGTCATTTGGTCTGCTTTGTTCTCAGTCCTTTCGTCATCGATTTGTTGTATCGATATCATAATTGCTAAGTTCATTGTTGTATTAATAAATTTCAATTTTTCGTAATAAAAGGTTCAATTACCCAAGTATGAGGTATAACTATTCAAAGGAGCACAAAGAACCCTCAGTCTTTGTCACAGTTGAAGAAAATCGGCGACACTATTTGTTTGTGACCTTAATCAACTTGGATTGTTTCAACTTATTATAAAATTTCTCGATTTTTCGACATTCCCGACTGAAAGAGACAGAAATTTCAAGGGGAAGGAGAGGAATGGGAGAATCATGACGACAAAAATTTAGTTTAATTAATTTAGGTTGGTTGTTCAGTTCGTTGTAGAATTTTGTATTCGGTTCAGCTAGTAGTAAAACGTCCTTGCAATTTTGACAGCGTTTAAATACTTCTGAAAGTTGTTGTTTGAATTGGCTTCAAATAATTATCAAAGATGTAATAGAATTTGGCATTTTCCGGACTACCTTTCTCTGCACTTGTTTCCATCATTATTGATTATTTTTTTGGATTTGCTTTAGTTTGGTTTTCAGCAAAATTTCTATGACTCCCTTATCTATAATAATGTCACCATTCATTAAGTAGGGATCAATAAACTTAATTGCTGTTACGAAAGTTTCATTACCTCTAAAAGTAAGTGAAGTTTGTAGTTTGTCTACAATAAAGTGATTTTGATCGATTCTTGTGTTGAATATTTCAATTTTTCGTACAAACATTTAGCTGTTGTCTTCTTTTCCCACAAAACAATGCTAGTATCTGTATGGCACAATTTTGTACGTATAGCACATTTTGTATAGCATTGTATAGCACAATGTTCTGTACTATCTTGATACTATTAGCCTGTCACAGATAGGTATTTTTGCTTTCTTGAATATGAAGTTCGCCATCGATTAACATCAGCTTCCAAACTATCCATGGAAGTATTCCACGTTATTGATAGTGCTCCATTAAGCTCTGTGCATAAGTGTGAGTTGGTCGCGGAAATAGTCGTTTAACCTCATATTACAGGGGGTATTAGTTTAAGAAAGACCTTTGTGTAAACATTGCGGCTGATATTGTTGCATTTTATTTACATTTCGAGTTGTACTTCTTTCATTGTATTCAATTGTAATTAGTTTTGAATAATTTCATCGTACTGATTTCATTGGAGTATTTTTACTCTTGGCCGAAGTTGTTCGACTAGACTACTTCGACGACCATAACATAGCCCATAGTTGCTATTGAATTTAACTTTCGTTTCCTTCTTTAGCCAACGTATTTGGTATCATCCATTTTGTTTGACGATGGTTCTCTTGAATTGTTCCAGTGTGTCATCATCATCATCGGCACTAGATTATTCTTGAATTCCGATGAATTCTAATTTCCGGAATCGTCCCGTTTCAGGTTCACGATGTATGTTTGCCAGACATTTCACACTCTTTAAACGATGTTTATCACTGATCGTGTAAAGTTCAATTATATCTCCATAATAAATTATCATAGTCCCGTCTTTAATATGGAGTAGAGGAAATCCTGACTTTAGTTGCTGGATTTTCTCCAGTTGAATAAACTTGAAGTAGCCAGCTCCGATAAGTATAACAGGTTGTTTTCAATAGCTCTTGAAACCTTACTACACTCATCTGTTGTTGATAATATTGCACTTCACTCGTTAAGTAGTCAATTATATGAGCTTCTATTATTATCATCTCCCTTTTGTTGCGAATAGTCTGTTAGTAGTACTGTGTAAGTTGAGATTCAGCAAAAAAAATTTGGTAAAGAATTGAGATTTAGTAGAAAAAAAAAGTGCCACGCAAGATACGATGTAGTAAGACGGGTAGCGAAGTTTATTGTAGTTAATATATATAGTAAAAACAAATGAAATAAATCCAAATTCGAAATAGGAAGAGAGAATTATATTTTTATTGCACAATTTTATAGGAAGAGACAACTTCTGCCAACTAACTGAGGAAAGCAAGATGATGAATAATACAATAGCTGGTAATAGCGAAACCTCTCATAATCCGCAATTGAACATTTATATAGCGTGAGTTGTTTACAATACTGAGACATGTGATCAAGTAAGATATAAAATGTTAGAAAAAATTTCATAGATCTTTGATGTGCGAAATGTTTACATTAATCAAGAATCTTTAAAATCATCAGATATTTGGTAGTGAAAGAATTGGCAGGTTTCTTATATGGGATAAAACAGGATTTACATATATGATTAAACGAATTAAATAAGACAATTATGAAAACATTTTCTACAATTTCATTTATTCAATTATCATTTACGTGACAATTTCATGATATAAACAATTAGCGAACAAATTCTTTTTTATGGATTTATGTAATATTCGTTTTAACATAATAAAAATTTCTCGGATTCCCGATGTTTTTCTTCAGTCATCATCGGAAGAACTCCGAAAGTCACAATGCAAATTTTCAGTGTATAAATTAATTGAAATTAAATCCTTGAACTCAGTTGGTAAACTAAAGCAGTAAACATTTGTCCAACATTCCCCACCACCAGCATATTGTGAGGAACCTTTCACTTATAACTATGCCAATTTATGTGGAAATGTTGTCATCTTTGATCTTTAATAATACCCCATATGTAATTGTCAGAAAACTAAACATCCCCTGTTTAACGTTCAAAGATCATACTATGTAGGGAATTTTGTAAGCCAAACCCATTTGTCTACACTATAAAAGGATCAAGTAGCGCGGAATGGACACACTTACTGACTCACTTTTTATCTATGGCTCGACATCTCAACGACTCATTTAATTCTTGTTTTTCTACTGGTTCACTCTGTCAGATTTGACTCAATTTTCACTCCCCTTTTTCATTCAATGGTGAACCAAGGCTCTTAGCAGCGCTCTCATACTTCGTTTATTTCCACTGTCAACACATTTTCTTCTTACAATAATCATTGTTCTTGTGCTCAATGCGCTTATCATATCCCTAATTATCGGTAATTGCGCATAAACGTCTTAGACTAAGGCCAACCAAGTATTCCAACCAAACCCTCCTATCGAAAGTGAGCGAGCTATAATGAGTTTCTGCTCTCACGCAAACAACCAAAGAAGAGACTTCGTTCGCGGAAGCAATTCCCAACAAATTTTTTTGATTATAGTGTCCGGCATCCCGTCTCGTGGCACCAAAAAAATTTGTTGGGATATTACCTCATGATGAGGTAGATAGCGAATTATACCGTCTTGATGCCCGACTGCAGTTGAACCTGAATCGTTTCATTGTACCGTCGAAACTATCTCTTCATTGTTCTGAAGTCTTCTGATCAAGGTTTTAAGACGTCCGAAGCATAGTCTATAATGACTTTTTAGTTTATCCTTTTTTTACCAAGGCCAGCAAACTTACTATCTCCCGTCTTGCTTCGTTATAGTCTTCTTAAATTGCTCAGGGGCTTGCTCATCATCGTTTTCATTCGACTGGTCCTGGATACCCAACAGTTTTAACTTCCAGAAGTGGTCGATGCCTTCATGGGTCGTTGCGTTTGGCACGCATGATACGGCTGAGTTTACTAATGCAGCGCTTGCTTTGCAAATATTATCCATATAACCATTTCCGGCTAGCATTGGTCCCAGTTTTATCCTGAATAGCAGGAGTCCTGATTCCAATTCTTTTGCTACATCTAGTTTGATAAACTTGAAGAAGTTTTTGACGCCAATGAGTGTTTCGGGCTGCTTCCAGTAGTCGTTTTTCCTAAGTTTATTCTTTTCATTGTAGAACTGGTATTTTTGTCGTCGACTGCGATCACTTCCAGTTTATTTGTGAGGTACTCCATTACGTTAACCTCGTCAATTATGATTTCCGTCTTTCCGATTCTCAACCAACCTCTGCTTTGAATTGCATTTCTTTGGTAATTTATTACCGAATAAAGCAATAGTTAGTCTCTCGTCTTCCGCCCCTCTAATGTGTAGCCTTTTTACTAAATTAGTTGATGACTGACAACCGCGAGCCCAAATCAAATAGTGTCGACGCTCTCGTTTGGAATTTCGAGATCTGTGGGTTTGTCGTG